CAAGCGACAAGAGAACTCCACCGGAGCTCCTAAACTGGATGTGGTGACGTTTGCCCGGCCAGTCCGCGGTGACCTTTCGGAGGCCCCCGGAGGCCTGCAGAGGTCACCGACCAGAGGTCCCTACAGCTTGCGCCATGAGCTAACCTACTCATGCTTGTCCGCATGTGGTGACGTTTGCCCGGCAGGCTCATGGGAGTCAACAGAACAATCCTATCAAATTGGTCCCTCTGGGCACCCCGCAGCTAGGGGTGACAGTGGGGACCTTCAAAGCTTACGCTTGTTCGGCTCGGAAATTGTCACTACCACACCTCTTTGTTTTTCTTTTGTCCGAGAATGAGAAGGGGGAGTAGAAGGGGGAAACACAATATATCGACAGATGCTGCAGCCCGCCGCAGAGCGCCGCGTGCGTCTCAATGCACATGTGGACCCTCTCCTTGGCATCGTTGCGATAGGGCTGGCGCCCTGGATTTGCAATGCACTCGATCGAGAAGTAGCCAGCATATGTCCAGCACCACTCCGTGGGGCATCGTGCACACTGCGCGGCCAGGGCCGAGGGCTCACCGCCAGTCCCGAACCACCTCGAACATGCAGCCGTTGTTGAGAGGAGTCCGCTGCGCGTTGTTTGGACAGCCCCCCATGTGCATGTCGTCGCTTCGCCTGGTGAGTGCGTACAGCAAGGCATTGCTATCGATTTCCGTGAAACGGTGAACTCTTCCGCGCGGGAACGGACCCAGGAGTTCACCATCGCCGCCGCGAGGAGATCCTCCTCCTCCTCCTCCTCCTCCTCCTCCGACTCCGTCTATTACCACGGATACTTCTCCTGCCATCGTACTTTTTGAGTTCCTGTTCGCTGGGAGGATCGGGTCGGGCGAAAGGGGGGGATAGCAAAGGGGGGGTTGAGAATCAGCTCACGTAGCTGATTTTCCCGGCGCCTCCCGGCGCCGGAGGCGCCCATGTATCGAGGAAGGGGCCCCTCGGTGGGGCCGAAACCAGCTGCATGCAGCAAATTTCGTACCCCCCCTTTCCCAATCCCCCCCTTTCGCCCGGCCCGAGAGGAGGGAGGGTGGATCCTTTTACACCATGCGGTCCCGTCTGAGTGGCAGGCCCGCCATGGGCCCACCAATTCAAGAACGGGCGCTTCCCGCAGCGGGAAGCCCTGAGAGGGACCACGAGGAACAGAACTGGGACGTGAGGGTTCGTTGCGGCACCATGGGTGCATCCTGGGAATACTCTGGTCCCCAATCCTCGGCCCCGTCCTCCTCCTCCTCCTCCGCCTCCTGCTCCCCTCCCCCGCATCCTCCTCTTCCTCCTCGCCCTCTTCTCCTTCCTCCCCTTCCTCCTCCTCCTCCTCCTCCTCCTCATCCTTATCCTCTTTCCCCTCTTTCTTCCGGCTTTCTTCCCTCGCTCCCCTCCTCTTCTTCTCGTCCTCGTCCTTGTCCCCCTCCTCCTCCTCCTCCTCCTCCTCCTCCTCCTCCTCCTCCTCTCCTCCTCCTCCTCCTGCTCCTCCTAGGTGGCTGCCCGGCGAGGCCCCGCAGCTGTCTTGCCCGCGGCCGGCGGCCCGCGGCGCCGCGGCGGCCCGCGATCGGGGAGCTCCCGGCGCCGGGAGGACGAGGGCGCGAAGGCGTTGCGGCGGCGCGTGGTGAGGATGCTGCAAGCTAAGTCGGACTTGATTGGACAGGACGCGCGAGAGGACACAAGACCCTTCCAAGGGCCACATTGCCATAGGAATGTAGGAGGCATGGGTCGCGAGATACAGGACACATGGGTACTCTCGATCTGGCAGGGTCGACCTACTAATCCGGACCGACTGTACGCCACGGTGTGGGCACATCGACGCGAGGTGCCCCCCCAAGGAAGCGAGCCGCGGCCGTCGACGCGTCGCCCGCAGGCTCCGCCTGGCCACCTACCGCCTGGTCGAAGCGGACAGCTGGGCGGCCCAGCTCCAGCCGCCCGGGTCCTGGGTGGTCGAGGGTCTGCGAGGAGGAGCACGGCCAGGAGGCGGGACGGAGTGATGGTGCGCGGCAGCTCCAAGGAGACAAACCCCGTGCGTGCGAGAGAGACGGACAGCGGCAGCCTCCACGGATAGAGACAAGCGCGTGCGAGAAGGGCGGGCAGTGGCAGCCGTGCGTGAAGGACGGGCAGTGGCAGTTACACAAAGACGGACACTGTGCTTGCGAGAAGGACGGGCAGGGGCGTCTTCGAGGGTCGCTGCCTGTTCGTGCGAGAAGGACGGGCAGTGGCAGCCAGCGTGCGAGATGGTCGGGCAGTGGCAGCTTCAAGCGGACGAGCAGTGGCAGCTTCAAAAAGACGGACACTGCACGTGCGTGAAGGACGGACATTGGCAGCTTCAGAAGGGCCAATACCGTGCATCATCATCATCATCATCATCATCATCACCACCACCACCACCACCACCACCACCACCACCACCACCACCATCATCATCATCATCATCATCATCATCACCATCATCATCATCATCATCATCATCATCATCACTAGCATCATCATCATCAGCATCATCATCACCACCACCATCATCATCATCACCATCACCATCACCATCATCATCATCATCATCATCATCATCACCATAATCAGCATCATCGTCATCATCATAATATTTTCATTCGCATCATCATCACCATCATCATCAGCAGCAGTAGCAGCAGCATCATCATTACAACCACCACAAGCATCATCATCAGCATCATCATCATCAGCATCATCATCACCATCACCATCATCGTCAGCAGCAGCATCATCAACATCATCATCACCATCATCATCAGCAGCATCATCATCACCACCACCATCATCACCAACACCACCACCATCATCATCATCAGCAGCAGCATCAGCATCAGCATCATCATCATCAGCACCAGAACAACCAATCATCATCATCATTATCGTCATCATCACCATCGTCATCAGCATCATCAGCATCATCATCAGCATCATCACCATGAGCATCATCTTCTTCCTCATCATCATCATCATCATCATCAGCAGCATCGTCACCACCACCATCATCACCACCACCACCATCAGTATCAACAGCACCAGCATCATCATCAGCATCATCATTAGCATCATCATCACAAATAATCATCATCAGCAGCATCATCATCAGCAGAATCATCATCACCACCGCCAGTACCATCATTATCATCATCACCACAATCACCATCATCACCATCATTATCAGCATCAGTATCATCATCCTCATCATCCTCATCATCCTCATCATCATCATCATTATCATCATCATCGTCATCATCATCATCATCATCATCATCATCATCATCCTCGTCGTCATCATCATCATCATCATCACCATTATCATCATCATCATCAGCATCATCATCATCACCATTATCATCATCGTCATCATCAGAGTGAACACTCCTCCTTTCACTTCCCCCCCTCGCCAGGGAGAAGGATGGAGGAGGGAGGAGGAGGAGGATGAGGAGGAAGAGGGGAGGAGGGAGGGAGAGGTGAGGAGGAGAAGGACGAATCAAGGAGGGAAGGAGCATGGAATGGAGGAGAGAAGGGAGGAAAAGGAGGATGAGGAGACGGGGGAGAGAGGAGGGACAATGAAGCCGTCGCCGTCCTGTGCATGTGAGCAGCAGGGACCGCGGGTAGCCCGAGTGAAGAGAGCGCAGCCTAACGTCGAAAACCCACCCTCGCCGCGCGCCGGCCAGACTGGCCCTCCTTAGAACAGATAAGAGAAGGACGAGATGGGGAGCGGGTGACGAGAAAGAGGTGAGCGAGGGTACAGTAGACACATACGGTAAGAGATCGCGGCGTAAGAGATCTAGGGGCACGGCTGTCGTCGAGTCCTGCGCTTCCTGAAATGCCTCGGGGACTCTGCGGGCTCCCTACGTAGAGACATCGAGGCCAAGAAACTTAAGTGGGGCTCCTTCCTGCTGGCAAGCTGGTTTCTTGTTTGACACGTCTGCTGCATGGATTAGCAGCGCGCACAAGGGGTTAGGGGGAGTGGGGGAGGCTTCTTAGGAGGAGGCTGCTTCTCCGAAGGCGTTGGCTCTACACCTACAGACGAGGCCCGCGCCTCCTGGGAAGCAGCCTCCTTCTGAGAGGCCCTCCCCCCTCCCCCTGCCTCCCTCCGCGCGTGGCCGAGTGGAGCCGAGCGGGCAGGGGAAGGGGGCGGGCGGTCGCGAGATCTCGGATCTCGGGGCACTGGCCGCGCCGATGCCCGTGCTCGCCGAGCGGGCGGAGGCCAGGCGCAGCGGCACAGTGCCGCGGCGAGGGGGAAGGAGGGGGAGAGGGGCTGGGCGAGAGCGCGCCTCCCCGACGCCGGGCTCGAGCGCCCCGGCCTGGGAGATTACTTCATCCCCGCGGGCTTTGCTTCGGGCGACCCGGCGGCGGCGGCAACGGCGGCGGCGGCATCGGCGGCGGCGGCGGCGGCGGTTTGGTCGTCGTCGTCGTCGTCGTCGTCGTCGTCGTCGTCGTCGTCGTCGTCGTCGTCGTCGTCGCCTCTGTCGTCGTCGTCGTCGTCGTCGTCGTCAACCCTCCTCCTCCTCCTCCCCCTCCTCCCCTTCTCGGTGGGGGGGTCGCTCGGCGTTAGAGCCGGCCTTCTGTCGCCGATCTGCCGTGCGAGGTCGAAGTGCTGCTCGAGGAGCTCCACCGACTTGTGGTGGTCGCCCCTGCAGGGGGTGGGCGGGAAGAGGGGAGAGCTCCTCGTCCGCCGTCCTCCTCCTCCTCCTCCTCATCCATCCCTTTCCCTCCTCCTCCTCCTCCTCCTCCTCCTCCTCCTCCCCCCGTTCCGAACAAAAATCATAACACAAAAAACCAGACAACTGATGCCGCCGCGAAGGCCGCCAAACAAATCATTGAACGCCGATGCCATATGGAGACATGCCCAAACGAAGCTGAAACCAATCGAGGCAAGAGCGGAAATCGATGGTGAAGGCGAGTCTCGAAATCGATGAAGGCCAAACAGAAAAATCGCAAGCACTGTCTAAAAGGAGGTTTCGCTCAGGGCAGCGACGAAATCAGTGAAAATGTTCAATCTTGGTTTCAGACCTGGCCCAGGCCGGCCCACTCCGTTGATTAGAGCCTCCCGGCATTCGTTTTCCGCCCCCGCGCGCGCTCGCGGGGCGCAGACCCCATGCGGCTACAGCACGAAGGACCTGGCCGCGAGCAGGGCGCCGTACTCCTGGAGGAGGAGCTCGGGGCGCCGCCCGGCGCAGTGCGGGGAGTGGTGCCCCCACCACGTGCGCATGTACCCGTTCATGAGCACCAGCCGGGACATGTTGGGGGCCCCGCCGCACGCCTCCGCCTTCAGGGCCTCGCCGCCGCCGGCCCCGCGCCAGGCCACGGCGCAGACGCCGCTCAGCATCAGGTCCAGGGCGATCGCGGTGTACCTCACGCTGCCCAGGTCGCCTGCGCTGCCGGTGCCGTCGGCGCCGTCCGACAGGCGCCAGTGGCCCTTGGGCCCGAGGCGCATCTGCCATCGCTCCGTCGCCGGGTTCTCGACCTCCACCAGCTCGTGCACGGGGTGCGGCACGTACGTCCGGCTGGAGTAGCTCACGTGCGACACGATCCGCAAGCCCGGGCAGGTGTGCCGCCAGGGCACGCCGGTGAGCCAGCCGTACTGGATCGCCCAGGCGTACTCCGGCTGGTGGAACTCGTACGTGTAGGCCCCGAGAACGGTGTGGAAGCTCGGGAACTCGGCGCCGCCACTCACCTCGCCGACCTCGCGCTGCAAGCGCAGGAAGGCCGCGTGGAAGGCCGCCCGGTCGCGGGCGCCGCCAGGAGCGAATCGGTCTATCAGGAAGTGCCTGCACGCCTCGAAGTGCCTCCTGTGGAAGACCTGCGGGAAGGAGTCCATGAACTCGGCAACCCACCGCAAGCCCATCACCTTCACGACGCTCCTGAAAGGCCCACCGCTGGCTCTGCCGTACTGCATGGGCACCACCCCCTGCGGCTCACGAGCGAACAAAATCTCCGGACCTCCACACGCCACGAAAACAACATCAGCATCCAGCACGGCGATGTAGTCAGCGCTGCTGTAGGTATCAGCCTCCAGCAGCGCCATCTCCTTGCGCAACATGCCAGGCAGGCTCGTGGTCAGCGCCCTCGTGAAGTTCGAGAAGGCTCCGTACACTTCCGGCCGCGGATCCAGTATGCACGTGGCCCACGAGGGCAGCAGCTCGCACGTGGCGGCGTCCTTGGGCGAGTCGTCCAGGATGACGAGCACCCTGCCAGAGTCCAGCGGCCAGTAGAACTCGACGCTGCGCAGCAGTAGCTGCACCATCTCGGCGGCCTTCCAGTACGTCCGCACCACCAGGTCCACCGTGGCCCCCCGCAGCTCCCCGCGGCGGAGCAGCTGCGGCGACGGCAGGTCGAGCACCGGCACCTCCGACAAGTTCAGCCGCGGTGGCCGCCCTGGGCCGCAGCAGCGCTCGTAGGTGAACTCGGCATCAAAGCAGGCGGGGTCCCTGCCAGGGCAGCAGAAATCGTAGTGGAAGCCCTCGTGCCAGCAGCTCGCCTGGAGCGCCCTCGCCGCCAAAGCGGGGCCGCCGGGCGGGCCCGCCACGCCCATGGGGCCGCAGGACGGGGGGGGGCCCTGTCCTCCTCCCTCCTCCCCTCCTCCTCCTCCTGTCTTGAGCCGGGGCGGACCGTTCGATCAAAAGATGGCTTGAGCCAAAGGGGCTACGGAAAAAACTGGTGGGGATACGCGGAGTGCCAAGAATTCGGAGAGGGAAGGGACGAGGGAAGAGGAAATAACCGGCGAGCGATGGAGGAGAGGCAGCGGAACGGGAAGAACCTATGGGAGCGAAGAAGGCATTGAGAATGAGACAGAGAGATCAGCATATCAAGTTAACATGTGTACATGGAGAAGGAAATGGAAAGAGAGAGAGAGAACACAAACAAACAATCAATACATATAGAGTCTAGAGAACAAATAAATCAGAGTGAGGGGGCTGAGCCGAACGGTCATTCACTGTCCCTGGGTGCGTGGCTGAAGTGGAATTCCGCGATGCGGATTATTGTTGTTGCTGCTGTTGTTGTTGTTGCTGTTGTTGTTGTTGTTGTTGTTGTTGAACATTATTTCTTCTTAAGAATAATTATTGTTGGGGCCCCTGGTGCATGGCCCCCCCGCCGCGCCTAGGCCGCAGCCTCATTTTCATCATTTTCGTGAGGAAGTCTCAGGTTCCAGATCCGGTTGTGTTGTTACGATCGGTTTTCCCTTGCACAAAAATAAGCTAAAGTGGACATGTCTTGTTCTAACATAACCAAACTTCACGAATCCCTTGCAAAAAATAAGGTAAAGTGGACATTCGCGCGCGCAAAACGAAATCCTTCCAAAACCTTAGTTTTCGTAGCGATTTTAACATAAAAACATCAAAAAAACCAATGGTTTTTCCAACAAATGTCAAAATTCCATCCCGCGCGCTCTTGCGGATTCGTAGGAAACCCAACACTTTTTTAATCATTTCTGTCAAACGGGCTTTTGCGAGCAACTTTTTCGAACTTCTGCAACAACGGTTGCGCACCTGCCAGGGCCATCATCCCTGTCAAATAATACCATGCGGGACACATTCGTTTTTTCTTCGCGCGCGCACGCCGTCGTCGTCGGCCGCGGGGCCCTGAATAGTAGCCACGGTCGTCCGCATGCCACGAAGTGAAGTGTCCGAACGTCATAGGGCGGGAAGCTGGGTGTGGGTGGTGGCGAAGAGTCGTTTGGAAATTTGGTAGAGCTTGAACCGGCCCCCCCACAAAGTGGGGGTATTGCCCGCCTCCTATGAAAACCCTGGCACTGGTGAGAACGGAGTGTCCCCACGTGCTAGTAATTGTTGTTGTTGTTGTTGAACATTATTTATTCTAAAGAATAATTATTGTTGGGCCCCCTGGTGCGCGCCCCCCCTGCGCCGCCTAGGCCGCAGCTACATTTTCATCATTTTCGTGAGGAAGCCTCAGGTAAAGATGTGATCAAGATCCGGTTGTTTTGTTGTAATCCGTTTTCCCTTGCAAAAAACACTATAAAATGACATTTCTTGTTCTAATATAATCAAATTTCAAGAATCCCTTGCAAAAAATAAGGTAAAGTGGACATTCGCGCGCGCAAGACGAAATCCTTCCAAAAGCTTAGTGTTCGCAGCGATTTTAACATAAAAACATCAAAAAACCAATGGTTTTTCAACAAAAAAATGTCAAAATCTCATCCCGCGCGCTCTTGCGGATTCGTAGGAAACCCAACACTTTTTAAACATTTCTGTCAAACGGGCTTTTGCGAGCAACTTTTTCGAACTTCTGCGACAACGGTTGCGCACCTGCCAGGGCCATCATCCCTGTCAAATAATACCATGCGGGACACATTCGTTTTTTCTTCGCGCGCGCACGCCGAAATCTCCAAAAACCATTGGGCTTCTTAAGAATTTTAGCACCGCGCATCATAAAATCACACGAATCGCACCGTAGGTCCTCGAAAAACACCTGCACGACTTTTCAAAATTTCTACCCGCGCGCGCTGTCCTAACAACTTCTGTGGGTGTGTACTCCACGCCAGTGTAGTAGCCACGGTCGTCCGCAGGCCACGAAGTGAAGTGTCCGAACGTCATAGGGCGGGAAGCTGGGTGTGGGTGGTGGCGAAGAGTCGTGTGGATATTTGGTAGAGCTTGCACTGCCCCCCCACAAAGTGGGGGTATTGGCTGGCGTCGCATGAAAACCCTGGCACTGGTGAGAACACTGAGCGTTCGGGTAAAGTGATTGTTGAACATTATTAATTCTAAAGAATAATTATTGTTGGGCCCCCTGGTGCACGGCCCCCCTGCGCCGCCTAGGCCGCAGCTACATTTTCATCATTTTCGTGAGGAAGCCTCAGGTAAACGATGTGATCAAGATCCGGTTGTTTTGTTGTAATCCGTTTTCCCTTGCAAAAAACACTATAAAATGACATTTCTTGTTCTAATATAATCAAATTTCAAGAATCCCTTGCAAAAAATAAGGTAAAGTGGACATTCGCGCGCGCAAGACGAAATCCTTCCAAAAGCTTAGTGTTCGGAGCGATTTTAACATAAAAACATCAAAAAACCAATGGTTTTTCAACAAAAAAATGTCAAAATCTCATCCCGCGCGCTCTTGCGGATTCGTAGGAAACCCAACACTTTTTAAACATTTCTGTCAAACGGGCTTTTGCGAGCAACTTTTTCGAACTTCTGCGACAACGGTTGCGCACCTGCCAGGGCCATCATCCCTGTCAAATAATACCATGCGGGACACATTCGTTTTTTCTTCGCGCGCGCACGCCGAAATCTCCAAAAACCATTGGGCTTCTTAAGAATTTTAGCACCGCGCATCATAAAATCACACGAATCGCACCGTAGGTCCTCGAAAAACACCTGCACGACTTTTCAAAATTTCTACCCGCGCGCGCTGTCCTAACAACTTCTGTGGGTGTGTACTCCACGCCAGTGTAGTAGCCACGGTCGTCCGCAGGCCACGAAGTGAAGTGTCCGAACGTCATAGGGCGGGAAGCTGGGTGTGGGTGGTGGCGAAGAGTCGTGTGGATATTTGGTAGAGCTTGCACTGCCCCCCCACAAAGTGGGGGTATTGGCTGGCGTCGCATGAAAACCCTGGCACTGGTGAGAACACTGAGCGTTCGGGTAAAGTGATTGTTGTTGTTGTTGTTGTTGTTGTTGTTGTTTGTGAGTGTTTGTCGTTGTTTGTTGTCGTCGTCCCGCCCGCGACCCGCCCCGCGACCCACCCGCGACCCGCCCCGCGACCCACCCGCGACCCACCCGCGACCCACCTGCGACCCACCCGCGACCCAGCCCGCGACCCACCCCGAGATCCCCCCCGCGACCCACCCGCGACCCACCCGCGACCCACCCCGAGACCCACCTGCGACCCACCCGCGACCCACCCGCGACCCACCCGCGACCCACCCCGCGACCCACCCAAAATTTTCGGCGTCTGCGGCGGGTTTCTTTTGCATTCGTTCCAGGTGGAAAACCTGCGACCCACCCGCGACCAAAACCGCGCCCGCGACCCACCCGCGACCCACCGCGACCCACCCGCGACCCACCCGAGACCCACCCCGCTACCCACCCAAAAGTTTCGGCGCCTGCGGCGGGCTTCTTTTGCATTCGTTCGAAGTGGAGAACCTGCGACCCACCCGCGACCCAAACCGCGTTCAGTGTACAAATCAAAATTTTCGGCGCCTGCGGCGGCTGTTTTTGAATTCCTTCCAGGTGAGAGCCCGCGACCCACCCGCGACCCAAACTACGTTCACTGAACAAGCCAAAACTTCGGCGCCTGCGGCGGGTTTCTTTTGCATTCGTTCCAGGTAGAGAACCTGCGGCCCAAACCGCGTTCAGTGTGCAAAGCCAAATTTTCGGCGCCTGCGGCGGGCTGTTTTTGAATTCCTTCCAGGTGGAGGTGGAGAGCCCGCGACACGCCCGCGACTGAACAAGCCCAAACTTCGGCGACTGCGGCAGGCTGTTTTTGCATTCGTTCCGGGTGGCCTACCAGCGATCCCCCCCGCGCTGAACTTGTCAGAGCACGCAAATCACGAGAAAGAGGAGGAGGAGGAGGAGGAGGAGGAGGAGGAGGAGGAGGAGGAGGAGGAGGAGGGGGAGGGCGCCATCGACAGGGAAGGTGAAGGCCACGAGGTCCGCCGGCTCGACGCCCGCGTCGCCCGCGCCCGCCCCCACACTCTTATCCGCAATTGCGGGGGGTGCTACGTAGAGAGAGAGAGAGAGAGAGAGAGAGAGAGAGACAGGGAGCTAACGATACATACAGAGAGAAAGGGAACAAACACATTTATAGATAGGGAGAGAGAGAGAGAGAGAGAAAGAAACAAAAAAAACGATTGGAGAAATGAAGACAGGAGTGTGGGGGGGGAATCCTCACACGTGCATCAGGCCATGACCTAGCAGAAGGGACCGCGGGGAGAAGGGCAGCAGGGAGCAGGGACCGAGCCCTCACCGGGAGCACCGCCGGCTGCCCCGATCGCCCCGCCCCCCCCCCGGCAGCATCCCGGACTCGACGCCGGGCGGCGGTCACCGTTCGATGGGCAGTCGGCGAAGAGGGCTGCGCGCGCACGGGGTGCGCCGCGCTCGCGGGGGTGCGCCGGGTGCCCCGGCGCGCCCTGTGCCCAGGCGCGCCCTGCGCCACGTGCGCCAGGCGCGGCAGGTGCTCCCAGGCGCGCGCAGAGTGCGCAGCGTGCGCCAGTGCACGTGCCAGCACGTCTCGGCCAGCGCGTCGTCCCCCAAACCACGCCCCCATTCTCAGAGGCCAGCGCAGGGTGGCAGAGGGAGGGAGAGATCTGCTGGGATCGAAGAGGAGGGGAGGGTGAGGCATGGAGCGAAGGGAGGAGGCGGGTGCACGTATGTGTGGGCTCGCAGGAAGGGCGCGTCTGGCAGGAGGGCGCCAAGCATACACCTGCACCGATGCTTGCATGGCCGATCCTGGGCCCGAGCTCTCGGGTTCAGCGGAAGCGGCCTCGTGGCCGACTTGGGGAGCTGTGCGCACAAATCCTGGGCCCAGGACCAGCCTGGCCGGGATCGGCATTACGTGTAACAGTGTGCGCCCCCCCCCCCCGGCGGAGGCGGCGTGTTGCCAGAAGAGTCCCTGGCCGAATGCGGCCCCAGGACTCCCAAGGAGGCCCGCACGGAGCACGCCTCACGGGGCCCAAGAGGGCCCCAGGAACTCCGACATGGGGAACGACAAGCCGGGACCACCTCGGGCCAGGGACACCCTTGGCAACCCCCGAGGACGGGGCGAGGGCAGCAGCGGGTTGTTGAGAAGAACGCTCGGGAAGAGCGGTCGGTATAAGGAAGCCGGCGCCGGGCCGGCGCGGTCGAGCGCGCCGCGCGGCGGGAGCCCGTGCCAGCGTCCGCTCCCGAGCCGCTGGGCACAGGCTCTGAACAAAAATCCTCACGGATACTCGGCTCGGGCCCCTGTTTCTACTCGTCGGTCCCCTTCCCCCTCCTCCTCCTCCTCCTCCTCCTCCGTAGCCATTTTGGCTCAAGGCTTTCGGCCTGTGCTTGCAGCAGCTACCTTCAGAACGGCACACAGCTGCTGCGGGCCAAGGTTGGCTCGGTCTTCTTTCCACTTTCAGTTCGCGGGATCCCAACCCGCAATCTTCATTGTGTGAGCTCCTGCTGGAGCCTGTGGCCGGTCACGTCTCGCGAGGAGTCATGGCGGGCAAAGGCGAAGGCGGGAAGGGGCGTGGCGTCCCTTGGGCTCCGTGGCACATGTGCCTGGGCGCAGCCACCTCCTCCTGCTTCTGGAGGTGGGCAGGGCAAATGCACGGGCCACCCGCCCAGACGCCAGGACCCCAGGACGTGGCCCCCACTCGTTCCTGGTCCTCAGGGTGCTGGCGCTGCTGCTCGCGGTGGTGGCGCCCCTCCTGGCAGCTCGACCACTCGCTGGACATGCTGCTGGTGTGGATGCAGGAAGAACGAGGGGCGCTTCTATTATTGCAAGCGTTGCGGAGCCCTCAAGAGCGACTCGGCCCTGCTGCCCTCCGCCTGGGCGTCAGGCAAGACTCTGGAGCTCCTCGGCTACGGCACTGGCAAGCAGGACGGGGTCAAGGGCCACGGGAAGGGCGCCACCGCTGCCCTCGCAGGCGGAGGCGGAGGCAAAGGCCTTCCTGCCGGCGACGCCGCTTCCAAGCCCCCCCATCACGGCAGAGGAGTACTCCCAGATGGCCACGCTCTGCGAGAAGTTGGGGGACGTGCAGGGCGCTCGTGCTCACCGCACAGCCGCGGCGGCGTTGCAGGAGCCCTTGCCCAAGCACGTCCCACTGCAGGTTCAACTCAACCGCGCCTATCAGCAAGCGCGCATGGTCGAGAAGCGCCTGGAGAGTGCGGTCACGAAGTACGAACAGATGGAGCAAGCTCTTGCGGCGCAGAGGTATTTGGTGCTTCAGCTACGGTCGGACTTGGTTGAGGCAGAGAGTCAGCACAGTGCACTCGTGCGGCGCCTGCATGACGATCCACCTGGCCCTACGTCCGACACCATTGCAGGTAGCAAGCTTAGTCTGGAGGACCTTCTTGATGAGCAGCGATTCTCAGCCATGTTCCACCTCGACCTCGGAGACTGCTCCACCGTCACGGAGGAGGAGGAGGACCCCCTGTCTGCCGAGGAGAAGGATCAGCTGGCTACACGAGTGTCGCAGTTCAAGACAGGCATCTCCGACTTGGCTCGCCACCTCTTCTCGGAGGCTAAGCGGAAGGTCGACTCGCTCAAGGCCGAACGCCAGTCGCCTCCTCAGCGCATGGCGGCCAAGAAGCGGCGCGCTGGCGAGGAGGGCCAGGGCGCGGCAGGTGGCGGGCCAGCTGCCAACGTGCCTGCCGCGGCCGCGGCTGGCAAGCCCCGAGGCTGGGCCCGCTGAGGCGGCTGGCCCAGGCGACTCGGCGTCGGCTCCGACTCGGCAGGCGTCTGCGGCGACTTCTTCGGCACCGTCGACGGCACCGACCAGTGCTCGTTCACGCGCTGGCAGGATCGCTGGCAAACCTTCTGATTTAGCCCCCCCTGGAGGAGCCCAGGGATCTCTGGAGCTTGGACCGCGGGACCGTTCCTCGGGAGTTCGGGGCCGTCGACCTGGCCAAGGGCTCTCGCTGGAATAACCTCCAAGGGGGAAACGACTTGATAGTTTCAGGGCCCTGCCGTACGTCGGCACAGGTCACTCGTTGGCGCAAGCGAGGGCTGCCTCTGCTCCTCGCTTCCCCCTCTGACAGTTACGACTGCCTGAGGTTGAAAGTTCTTCCGCAGTGCAGGCCTCAGTCTCGTTGGCGCCCTCTGCTCACTCGTGCTGACGTGGTGTTAGGTCAATCGTCGCTCAGCATGTGTGATTGGAATAAGCAGCGCCAATTTCCGACTTGTTTCGCCAGACCTGTTGGGGTGTATCCTGTGATATCGTTGGTCAACGATGCTCCTCGTCGCACCTCGCTGGTCAGGCTGCCAATGCCTGCCCCATCTTCGGTGATGCAGGCTCCCGAACATCTTTCTATGTCTGGTAGCGACATCGGGGGGACTTGGCCATCTGTGGACCAGGGTCCTCGTCGCTGCCCCTCGCCCCCACCTTCTGCCAACCTCGCTTGGTCGATTTCGGTCTCAGAACGCGGGGGCATGGGCCCATGTAGCTCTTGCTCTCACCCTGCGGAAGCTCGGCCTTCCCCCATCATGCCTGCCTGCGCAGGTCGATGCGGCGCCACTCAGGATTCAGACCATCCACTGTCATTCTTGGGGCAGGGTGCGTAACATGATCGAAGGCACTAACGCTCATGTCTTGCGATGCCAGGCGCGCAGACTGATTTCCCATGGGGATATTGGTTAGGCTAACGCCTGGAGTCTCCGCCGTGGCTAGAAGAGCGTGTGGTCGCCCGCCACGGCCACTGATATTGGGGACTCTTCGGGGGGGGTCGCCATTTTCGCGCGCCCCTGGATGGGCTGCTCGGATGTTGCTGGAGGCCAGGTGTGCGCCGGGAAGGCGGTCGTGTGCTCGTTTGAGCTCCCTGGCACGCCGCCCATGCCCATTGCCTCGGCCTGCCTCTATCACTCGGAGGGGCTGTCTGCCAGGAACTTGGAGCTGCTCTCGGATCTTGGGCTGTGCCACTCCTCGGCTGCGAGACCCTGGATTCTTGGTGCTGACTTTAACATGGAACCCTCTGAGTTGGGAGGGTCCCGTTTTGTCCAGCAGCTCAGAGGTGCTCTGGTCTTTCCCAAGTTGCCCACCCACTACCCTGCGGGGCCTCCCACCACCTTCGACTACTTTGTCGTCTTTGGAGGTCTTAGTAAGGGCATCGAGATGATCGATGCGCGCTTGGATACGGAGATCTCCCCCCACAGGCCTGTCGACCTTAAGTTGTTCGGTCAATTGGCTGTGCTGAAAGCTCTGTCGTTCAGGCGCCCACCGCCCTTGCCTGCCGAGGCGGTGGTCGGCCCCTTTCCGAGAGCTCCAGAGTGGTCGGGGGCCCAATATCTGGCTGACTCCGCCCTGGGTTTGCTTGGCATAGGTCGCCCTAGTGAAGCCGCTTCCCTTCCAGGCTCCCTGTGCCAAAGGTGGGCTGACAATGCCGAAAGGGGGCTGATTCCGTTGGTTGGGCCTTCGCCTGGCAAGCTCGGCACTCGTGGGTCGGGCCCTCTGTCGGTCTGGCGTTTGGTTTTACCTAAGGGCTCCCAGGTCAGATACCCTGCTAAAAGATCCATAGCTTGGCTAGGGCAGCAGCTCAGAGCGCACATCCATTCCTTGTGAGCAGGTGCGTCTAGCACAGCCTCCTGTTTGAAGGGCCTGCTGCTTCAGCCTCCGCTTGCGATCGCCAACGCCAAGGCTGACAATATGCCCCTGTTCGAGCTGGTGGCGACGTCGGTCGCGACCTTGGCTGCCACCGACGCGTTTGCTGAAGTTCATGCTCAGGTGCACGAGGCCGTCAAGGCCGCCGACAGCAAGTCCCTCGCACAGGGCCGTGCCGATTGGAAGGCATGGTTCAATGCCGGAATGCAGTCTGGTGCGAAGCGGGTTCACATGTCGCTTCGAGGCCCGACCCCTGGGGTGGCCAGCACTCTTTCGGCCGAGGGCAGCGCGGTTTCGGATCCGCTCTCGCTTCTAAAAGCGGAGGGCCCGCGTTTCTCGAAGCTCTGGGGTCCTGGATCGGGGGCACAGTCTCGGTTTGAGCGTCTCGGACCCCTCCCCAGGATTGAGACAGGTACTATTCGTGATATATCTTGGTCATATAAGAAAGCGTCGGCCGTCTCAGTTGACGGATTTCACTGCAGACGTGTCTCGTTGCTGTGCGACGCGAGCCTCACCTGCCTTAGTAGCATCCTTTGTCTGATCGGGTCCCTTGGCATTCTTCCTCCTCAGATTTCGGTTGTGCTGCTCGCGCTGCTGCCGAAGCCGACTTGTGGCTACAGGCCCATGGGAGTGTTCTGTTCTTGGTTCAGGGTCTGGGGGCGCCGCGGGCGCCCCATCGCCCTGGACTGGGAGCTTACGCACCCCCGTGGGTACTGGGCCGCTGGCCAGCACCGGGGAGCGGCCGACGTCGTTTGGCAACAGGCGGTGACGGCCGAAAGCGGAGTCGCCAGGGGTCAGGCCAGTCGCAATATCTTCTTCGATCTTTCTAAATTCAATGAGAATATTGATTTGGATAAGTTGGAGGATCGCTGCAGGAGGCACGGGTTTCCGATGATCACCGCCAGATTGTGCTTGTATGCGTGTAGGGTTGGTCGGTTCCTCAGTCTCGGCGATTGGATCGAGGGCCCCTACTTCTGCGCGAACAGGGTCATCGCTGGCTGTTCGATGGCCACCACTCTTATCCGTGTCTGCTGTCTTGACGGTTACGACAGCATCCATATTGCTCCCTCCACCTGCCTGGACGTTTACATCGATGACCACGGCTTGTCCTCCACGGGTCGCCCTGGGGCCGTCATGGATGCCGTGGTGGCTGGTGCCGTAGCTTTGGATGGCGTCGCGAGGGGCGTTTTTAGCTGTTCGCTTGCCCGGGAGAAAACGGCGATTATTGATAGCTCGAAGTCTGTCGGCACCCAGGTCCTCGACAGGCTCAGCCACCTCTGCCGCCACCGCTCAGGTTCCACGGTCAACCTCGGCGTTGACTACACGGCTGGTCGAGCCATCAGGGTCGGCGGCAAGGCGGCCAAGATGAAGGCTCGGATAGCCAAGTCAGCTCGGGCAGCTCGGCGCTTAGCGCGGCAAGGTAAGGCGCTCAGCCGGGCTTCCTCCCTCAAGGTCTTCTCGGCGGGGCCCTTGGTGGGGGCCTCCTATGGGTCCGAAGTCGCGGGCATAAGCGATCGCGACCATAGCCGGCTGCACCGCCGTGTTTTTCCTGTCGTTCGCCCTCGCAGCCAGCTGTCTCTCACGGCCAGCGCCGTCCTGGACTACGATCCGACGTGGCGAGCGGCCACTGCCCCGATTCTCAGGTGGAGCAGGGAGGTGTGGCTCTGTCAGACCTCAGCCTTCAGCTGGTCTCTCTCTCTCTCTCTCTCTCTCTCTCTCTCTCTCTCTCTCTCTCTCTCTCTCTCTCTCTCTCTCTCTCTCTCTCTCTCTCTCTCTCTCTCTCTCTCTCTCTCTCTCTCTCTCTCTCTCTCTCTCTCTCTCTCTCTCTCTCTCTCTCTTTGCCAGTGCTCAGGCGTGCGCGGCGCGCCATTTTTTCTGGTGCACCCTACGACTGGAGGCGAGTTGCGGGCTCTGTCTCTGCCGGGGGATGTCCCTGGTGCGCCTCGGGTGGCGCGCGGATAACTTCATGGCCCCGGTCGACGATTTCGGGGGGCCCATTCCTTCGGGGATCTTCTCGCCCTCGCACGTCGGGCCCCTGGTCCGAGAAGGGTATCTCCGCATGTTGGAGAGAGACGCGGCGGCTGCTCACAGCATCCAGTCACGTCTCTGCTACGACGTGGCGCGGGGAAGCCTTTTTCTGCGCAGCAAGAAATTCACGCCCCCCCAATAGGCCAGGATTCGGGCCTTCTCCGTGGAAGCTTCCCTCACGGCTGCCAGGGCCTAGTCTCTTGACTATCACGTCGAGCTGGTCTGTATCAAACCCGCGACACCATCTTCCACCGTTTGTGGGCATGTCCCTTCCCCCCCCGGCGGCTAAGGATAGGAGCGGGCTGGTCGAGCCCGATATCATCGAAGCTGCGCGTGCAGCTAAGGCCTCGGGCGAGCATGGGGACAGCTTTGTATTCATCTCTGGCGCCTCTCGGCACCCCGCCGACCTCTGCCCTCGGACGTCGACTGAGCAGGATGATGGTCCGATGTTGACGTGGCACAAGTACCCGAAGGATGGCCCTGATGAGGCCCCTGTTGACAATCGTGTCTGGGGTGGCCTCTTTGTCGATGGTTCTTGTTTTCGCCACGCGGTGCGCGAACTTTCTCGAGCGGGCAGCGCTGTTTGTATGGTGGACGATGCTGGTGACTTGGTTGCCGAGCTTCGCGCACCAGCGTGGGGCCCATACCCTCAGACGGCTCAGAGTGCCGAATTCAGCGCCTAGACTTGGGCCAATGTGATTGCCACGCTTCCCGCAGACTGCCACGTTCATTCGGATTGTAGCAACGTTGTACAGTCTGCCGCCAGAGGCAGCTCGGTTTAGTTGTCTCCCAAGAGGATGTACTCGGGAGCTTTTCTCCAATGTTATGGTCAGGTTGGTGGAGTCGTTTCTTGCTCGAAGGTGGCCGCCCATCTTGACATCGACGCTCCTGGAATCACACCCCGTGAGCGCTGGTGCAGGCTTGACAATCACCATGCCGATGTAGCAGCCAAGCGCGCAGTCTCTTTGCATCCGCGTGACGAAGGTTTACTTCAGGCTGCTG